AACTTTGTTCAAAGAGGTGCGAATTGTGTTGTTTGATCGTTTGTTTGGAAGTCAAAGGTGCAAAATCCAATTCTGTTCATCTAGATTTTCTCCCCGGGAAAACAAATTGGCACACCTCGTGGGACACGTGTGATCGATTTGATGGCTCCGAGGCGGAGGAATCAAGAAGGTGACGCTCCGGCTGGTTTTGTGGAGGAGCAGGTGGCCAATATTGAACATGACCAAGTGTCAGAGGCGGTGGCCTGAAACAATGGTGGGGCAGAGATCCTACCAACGGCAGAGATCCTTCATCAAATGATGGAGGAGAATCGCAAGTTGGTGGCAGAGAACCGTCAAGCCACAGAGGAGAACCGCCAAATGATGGTGGAGAACCGTCGCATGATGGAGGAGGCTAGAGCTGCTACTCCTCAGGTAAATTCTCAAATGGACTGTCTTAATTCTAGAATTGATAGACGTCTAAGTCAATTATTTGAAGTGGTTAATAAGAACAAAAGTGATTTTGATGAGTTTGGAAGGTTTTCAACTACACCAATAATCCAATATAGAGCTCTGCCATTAGATGGCGGGAATTCAAACCCCAATAGCAATTCCGGAAATTTAAGTTCATCTCCACTCGGCGGCCAAAATGGTAAGCCACGACAAGATAACCTCTTTCTGCCGATGACAAACCAACCAACTCCTCACAGCATGAATCGCGGCGAGATTCCTGGCACTACTCAAGTGGAATGGATACCCAATGTGGGAGTTGGAGAAATTCCCCCAAGTGGTGAGAATTTGGGAGTTACACATTATGCTCCAGTGGAACCGCCACCCATACCCATATCAGTGGCAAGGCCCTATACGGTGCCTGCTCACATGGGAGTGGGAGTAGGCTTAGGTGGGGGAGATGAAGTTCCTCCGAGAGCATACCCAACACCCATGCCACCCAATTTCAATGGGCATGGCATGAACCCCATGGGTTTCGTACCCCAAGGGGGGCAACTAGGGGGGCATGATCCCAACACTCTAAGGGACCAAGTGGCTCAACTTCTTGCCAAGAAATTTGGCATGGGAGTGAGACCCACCATGCCACCTGCTTATCGAAAACCATACCCTGAGTGGGTGGATAGACTCTACCCACTCCCAAGGGGATTTAGAGTCCCCGAGTTTGCCACATTCACTGGGACAGGGGACCAGTCTACTGTGGAGCACATTGGAGGAACGTCATAGCAGTTGAGAGGGTAACCGTCACTCCACGTCAACAGAGCAGTTTCTTGGGGCAGTTACTTCTGGTGGCTATAAATAGGAGGTGAAGATGACAGAGAAAGAGGTCGCAAAAATCACAACTCGACACCAATTGTCAAGTTTAATCTTTTTCTCTTTTCCTCTACAGATTTTAGCCATAGTCATAATTTTTGGAGCTCTCACTGAACCTCCATAGGAGTAGGGCTAATTTAATGTACATTTGCCTCGTAGTTCATCAAAACATTGAACACCCTTGTTTGAACTTTGTTCAAAGAGGTGTGAACTGTGTTGTTTGATCGTTTGTTTGGAAGTCAAAGGTGCAAAATCCAATTCTGTTCATCTAGATTTTCTCATCGGGAAAACACATGTATGCCCATCCCATTTCCATAATTCATTGATCAAAAGAGTCTCTCAAAGTATCTAGCTCTACGGGTTCCCCCTCCCCACCTACGACATTCTTTTATATATGAAAGCTGGGTACGCTTTATTGGGCCAAATTTGTCGGTACTGTTTCACTATTTGTCATTTAGTAGAAAAACCACCTCCAGCTAGCTCTGGAAAAACGTTCTCACAGCTAGCTCCACCGAAATTTAACATTTCCCTCGAAGCAGCCCATACTTCCATATCCCATCCCTTTACTCTCAGTCCCACTCTCAAATTCAGTCATCTCACGCTATCTCACAGCTCCAGTTCACTTCTTTCTCTTTTCAACTGTTCCACACGCCAACGCACATGCATATGTACAATACTCACCTTACTCATCTGGATTAAGAGAGACTTTTATTCTCTGGGTTGACCATTTCAATTTCAGTTGCAACTCTGATGTTGATCTATTCTCGATTCCCACACCCGCTCTTCTAGCAACCCTCTTTTCCTCCCATTTTCTGACCACCGTGAATCTTGGCAATCGAAATAAGTATGAATGTCATCAGTAAAGCTTTATCGTGGACTTCAGTGATAAGATTTAGAGACCTATCTCTGCGGCGTCCAAGGGCAGTCGTCGGCGGATGAATCCGTCGTCGTTGGAGTCAACCTGCACCACCATCTCCTCTACCTCCGTCTCAGTCGCGAAGATGCTTATGTTCTTCCGTGACGCCTTCTAATGAACTCGCCGCCTCCTTAACAGCAACGAATGCAGCGTTAGTGAGAGGAGCAGGCTTAACTCATGGTGCCCAGTTCTCCACTTCAGCAATTGTTATTTCCAACTACATCTAAGTACTTCATTTGAGGTCACGACGACTAAATCTCAAGACAACGTTGATGGCGGCATGGATCATCACCGGTGGCGTCGTTGTTTCGGTGAGGATGACATCATGTCGTCGGATATGGAGTATGGCTTCGAGGAGAAAGATGGGGAGTTGATGACGATGAAGGGTTTATAGATCATTAGTGGGATTAGAAGAAGGCCAAAAACGTCGGGAAGAGGTTATGGGAAGCCACTCCCAAGTTCCATGTAAGCGGACTAACAACCCTAAATTCAGAAGCCATACCCGACGCCATGGAAGCCACTCCAGCTTGCCAACTAATTTAAGTGACGGTTATTTGCTGAATTGAGGGTCACCCTGCCAGACGGTACGATTCTCCTCTTTTAACTCCCATATTTTTTTTCTCCGCTACGCTCCTACTGGCGGCTCGCTTTCAGTTTTTTTGGTTGTGCATATTTCAAGCTTTCTTGCGCAGATTTGTATGCTAATGACCTCTATGTTAGTTTGCTTGCTATTTTCCATTTGAAAGATTTAAGTCCACCAAGCAAGACTCTAACAAGTGCTAATCTTTTAAGGTTTCTGTATGTGAAAGTAAATTCTGGTGTAGAGGTGTTTCAATCATTCAAGTTATAATATCTTACTCTTGGTACTTTGTTTGTTTCCAGCTTAGTCTCATGGTCTCAACTGCATCTTCCCACCAGGCAAAAGATGTTGGTGGCTTGCAAGTCAGCTGTTTAACTAACTTTGTAGATGAACTCGCTCTTCATTTTAAGATCATCCTTTCACCACTTCTCTTCACTGTCACTAAATCTGAACTTTCTGAATTCATACTCTCTGATCTAGGTTATGTTTACTTATGCGTTTTGAGGTTTATGAAAATTTGGGCACATAGAATAGCTTGCTGAAAGATTCAGGCTTTGATTGACAAAGGTTTGGATTACTCAAACTAGGCATCTGGGTTGACATATCCTTCCTTCAAATTGAAGGAACTCATAATATAGTAAAAAATGGGACAAAGGTCATATCACTTTTTTTCTGCTTATGATTCTTGAGCTTTATAAGATTGAAGAGGTAGCTGAAAGATTCTGGAGTGATTTAAGAATTGTTGAAATTAGACAAACTAAGCATATGGGTCGAAGTTTGGTTCAAGGTTGCTAGGTAGTTTGCTATTTAACTTTGCGACTTTTCTCTGTAATTGATAATGCCAGGTTGAGGTAATAGCAACAAGCATACCAAACTTTTAATTTGATGAACAATTATTAGTTTTTTTATATCAAAGTTACAATAATCTTGGTTCAAAGGTTGAAGTGAGGGAAGCTTGATCTGCTTAGACCATCCACCAGTTCATTTGATTTATCCATAGAGTATTCATACTCAACCACCGACACTTTTTCTGCTTCTTCATCTTTGGCTGGTGGAGATTTTGATTCTCACATTCACAGGTTTGTTACTTTTGACTGTCATCATAACTGTTTGGCCAGCCTCGATGTGAATCTTATGCCCAAAATGGGTTTAAAATGTTTTGTAGGGGAGTTGAACAACATTTAAGCAGTACTTTATGGCCTACGACAAGTTTTGATCCATTTGGATCAAAAGCTTCCACCTTTCTCGAGTTCCAAACAGAGAAGTAGGAAATGGTAAGTAGCAGCATGCCTTTGGATCAAAAGCTTCCGCCTTTCTCGACTTCCAAACCGAGAGAGAGGGATATGGTAAGCAGCAGGATTCCTGCGACCCTAAGAGAAGTTTCATTCAGTTCTAATTTGAGGTTTTTGCTTGATTTATGTTCGGAGAATTGCCAACAAAGTCTTAATGTTAGGTATTGAAGGCCAAGCTCGAGTTTTGAGTTTCCCTTGCTTAAAGGCAGAGGTTTAAATTCTTATGTTGTCAGTTCTGGATTTAATGTTGCCTAATGTATGGCTATTCCTGGCTGTTGCAATTTGAATTGGTTTCTAGGTAGGTTTAAAATCAGAAACTGAGCTTAATAAGTACAAATTCATGTGGAAACTCCCAAGCACACAGAGAATGCTGATGAGATGAATCAAGTCACACCAATTATGAAGGTGAAGAAGAGATCCATTGACCAACTGTTTTTAATCTTTTGTTGTCTTTGTTTGTTTGTGTTGTTCGTCCTGTTCGTTTTCCTTTTATAATGAATAAAACATGTTTATTCAATTATCAGAATCTGTTTACTTGATAATCTTCCTATTTTAGTGTAAAGAAAATTGGAAATAACATCAAAACGATTTCATAAACTTTAGCATGCTCAGAACTTTTAAACTTACATCGTAGTCAGTAGCACAACAACCACCAATTGGTCATCACCTAAACTAGCTACCATATAATTATGTTGTTGTAAATTAAGTTCCCGCGGCGTAGTTGTGGGCATTGATTCTAGTAGTGCTAGTTGCTTACTCAAACCCTAGAATGTATGTCCCTACCAATTCTCTGATTTGAAGGATTTCTTATCCTAAATACTTCGGAATGTTAAAGAATGGTGTAAAATTCAGTTTTGGAATTCGAGGATCAGATGGAAACCACAAAATTTCTAGCTTTGCATCCAAGCTTGGATTGGTTTTCTAATTGTGCTTATTAGTTACACAAGCCCTTAGAAATAAGGCCATTCCGTCGTTCCAAACTTGTGATATAAACAAATGCTCCAGTTTCAGAACTCTGTCCATTTTCGTGATCACACATTTCTATGCCCACAAAATGGATGAATAATGTACACCAAGCCAAGAAGCCCTGAATAAAGACCAATCTCCTATGCTAAGCTCTATTGATCATCTCTCCGAATCTATCTATATATTAAAAATGGCACCCCACCATTTTCTCATTTCACAACTGAGAGGAAGGCTTGTATAGAACTACAGTGACGTACTTCTGAAGAAACCTATGAGTAGTGGCGAGGGCCACCACCGCCGGCTGGCCACCACCACCATGTGCATTGTTCTGAATGTAGAGATGGTTCAGAACAGCATGGACTGGCCTTGGCAGTGACTGCTGGCCATCCACCGTGGAGAATCTCTCGTGGAGAAGTGTCAGCTGAAGCTGTGGAGGTATTTCTGGAGGCGGCTTGCTGAAGTCTTCCTGGTTTAGAAAGTCAGTTCCATAGCTTGATGATGGTGAAGATGGGACTTGGAACTCTGTCAGGCTCTCCGGAGCTTCCGGCACATTATCCTGCAGATTACAAGAAAATGGAAAGAGGAACGTTTGATGGTCAGACTGAAACTAAGTAGAGCAAAGAAACTGAAATTCAATTGGAATTTTCAACCGGAAGCAGAAATAGATGAGGGGACATGCTTCATGGAATGAAGCTCATTATTCTTGTGTTTGAGGTATCACTTTTGCCCAATTTTCAGCCTCTTTCGATCAATATTACCCAACTTCAACTTGTTGCTTTGGACAGAGAGTTTGAATCACAGAGATTCATACTGAATCGAAAAGCTGAGGAGTGGTGTGAGATTTTGTGATGTGAACCTGAACATTCAAGACATTGTAAGCGATCCCAGAATCATCACACTCCCAAGGCAACTCTGGAGCAAATCTGAGATTCTCATCCACAATGAACCGGTAGTGGTAAACTCCAGAGGGCAGTAACTTCATCACCATGAAATCCTTGCCTGATCTCTGCAAAGGCTCTCTAAACAAACACAGAAAGGGAGCAGCAGGTAAGAAGGACAAAAGATTGAAACTTGCCCTTTTATTGGTCATGCTCCTTGAGGGTTTTATTACCTAGTGTCCCAATTGTCCCAAGAACCAGTGAGGGCAACTTGGCTTCCATCGTAACTCCATGTGATCATGACAGGGTTCAGCTTCTCAGCAGCCCCCTGGCTATGGTACTGACCCTGCATTGTCGTCTCACCTGATATTCTAACTGGAACCTGAACAAAATTTGTAGAAGAAGAAGAAAGTGAAATTTGTGCAAAATGTGAACTTCCCTTTTGTGCTGATAAGAATTGGAACTGCCTGTACAATGCCCAATTCTGGGATGAGAAGAAATGCACAAGGGACTACGAAGTTGGTTTCTTATTTTCACAAAGGGTAAACTAACCAGTAACCAACCTTTACGGTTTATCAAAAAGTTACCTATTTACCATATTTGAACTACTACTACTACTACTGGTGTCCCATAAATAAATTATTAATGCTACTTCAGGAATTGCCCCATTTCGAAGTTCCTGGTTCATGACTTCTACCAACCCACCAAACCAAAATTGCTGCAAAAGCAAAACCCACCCCTGCTTTTCATCAAGCTACCAAAACCTAGAGTCATACTTGTCACAAGTAAAAAGAAAAGTCGGAACAAGACCACGAGAATGACAAAAGCGAAAACCTGTACACCACTTCGAGCGTGATTTGGTCAAATAGTGGTAGGAAATAAATTTATTGGTTCTATCTCACTAGATATGGTCCAAAGCTGCTAAGTTTCATCTAAAACACGGCTCATATCAATAATTGATACAAAGAAATTTATCATTTGTCTAGTTATACTGGCAACTCAAGTTCAATAGTTATAACCCAATATAACGGGAGGAAGAAACCACAGTTTGGAAGCCATAAAACTCAATGAAGGCAAAGTAAATTGGAGAAAACTAGCTGCAATAAACTGTAAGGAATAACCTGGGAAGTGAAGGAAGCAGGAGGAGGCTGCAAGTAAGCTGTTGTAAGGCTACGGGGAGGAGAATGAAGAATCATGTGCTGATTAACTGTTTCTCCTTCTTCTGCTTCTGAATTCTCTCCTTCTTCACTTCTGCCACTAACATTGCCCATCACTAAACCAGCAAAAGAAAAACAAACACAAGAAATCCCCCAAGAAAACTAGAACCCAAAAACAAAGGGGAAGTTATGTTAGAGAGGAGGGTATGGTAAGCTCATCCTTCTTTTCAAGTTGAAACTGTACCCATTATCTCACTGTAAAAATTAAGTGGGAGAAAGCAGCAAAAATCAATCATCACTTCACCATAATTTCAAGAAACAATAAACTCAAAGGAACTGCGAAGAGAAGGGAATTGATTAGAAAGAGAGGAAGAAGAGAAAAAAGGGCATCACCACTACTCCTTCCATCCCCACCACCATTAATTTGTTGTTTCTTTGGCAGCTTTAATTTATGGGGGATGGAGATATTGTTTTCTTCTTCTTCTTTTATTTCTCTTGTGACTGATGGGACTGAGATTGATTGGGTTTTTGTTGAGGAAAAGTGCAATTTGTAATCTCTCTCTGTTTCTTTCTTTCCCTGGGATTAGTGAGGAAAACTTGAGAAAGCAAAGAAAAGACCCAAAACTTCCCTTTCTCCCACCTATCTCCCTCCTCTCTCTGTTGAGTGATGATGGGGTGAATTTATTTATTTATTATTATTAATAATTTCTTCTGTTGTCGTTCTCCAATGAGTTGGGAAGATACTCTCGTGGACTTGGCTAACTATGGTTGGTTCACAAAAGGGAACGAATTCAGAATTCTTATGATGATGGCCACTTTCTTCCTCCAATTCTTTTTTTTCTAAGTTATGGGATTGTTTGAAAGTTGGGAATGTTAAATCATTGGATTATAATGAATCACAAAAAAAAAATATACATGTATTGGTACAATGTATGCATTTTAAGAGTAATTATCATAAATAGACACAAAACTATTCACTTTGTACAAAACGATCACAAATTTTTAATTTTGCACGTTTCAGTAACATGTTTGGACTGATAACAAAATGATAATTTCGTACTTCATCCAAAAGTCCGTTAGTTTACTCCAATAAGTAATCCATGTCATTAATAAATAATAATTAAAAAATCAATAGACCAACCCAATTATACCAACCAATCCAAACACAACCCCAACCAAAAATTATACCCAATAAAAAAAGAACACAATTAAAACCCCTACTGTCAAAAAAAGAACACAATTAAACCCCCTGCTTTCCTCCACCAACAGAGGAACTTCATCTCTCTCTCCCTCCTCTGAAACCCCACAACCCCCCAGAAACGATCATCCTTTAGTGAGATTTCCTCTGCCGTTAGTCGCCAATGTCACTCCTCCAACTCTGCTTCATTTCACTTCTTCAGTTCTTCTGCTTCCCCTCCTCCTTCCTTCATATTCCATGAACGATGAAGGCTTTGCCCTTCTCTCCTTCAAACAGTTGCTGCAACAAAGACCCAGCACAGGCCAATTGCAAAATTGGAATCCCTCCGCACAAATCCTTGCTTCTGGGAAGGAATCAGCTGCAACCAATTCGAGCGAGTCATCTTACCCAGCTTTACTTACAAACAACTCACCGGATCCTTCCACCTCGACTCCATCAACCTAACCCAACTCCGCCACGTCAGTCTCCGCTGTCAAGAACCAGTTGATCCCAATAACTCGAGTTGTTGGGAGAAGGTTCTGCTGGATCTTATATCATACTCTAACACGCCCCCTCAAGCGAAAGCCAACCCATTGGCTTGAAGTTTGCACAGGCCCACCATACCATGTGCTTGAAAGACAACGGTTAATATTGGGGGTCGTGTAGATTCGAACACATGACCTTTTGGTTCGAGGCTCTGATACCATGTCATAAACCAGTTGATCCCAATAACTCGAGTTGTTGGGAGAGGTTCAATCGTGGATCATATACCACAACAGTAACACGCCCCCTCAAACGAAAGTCACTCATAAGGGCTTGAAGTTTGCACAGATCTGAATACAAGAATACCATGTGCTTAACACATGGGGGTCACCGGGAATAGAACACAAGACCTCTCGGTCACAGAAGGCTCTGATACCATGTCAAGAACCAGTTGATCCCAATAACTCGAGTTGTTGGGAGAAGATTCTGCTGGATCTTATACCACACTCTAACATCCGCAACAACAACCTCTTCGGAACCTTCCGACCGGAGCTCCTCCGGGCAACTGGGCTTATTACCCTAGTTCTATCCGATAACTCAATTTCCAGCCCAATTCCATCTGAAATTGGAAACGCCTCCAAACCCCATATCCCAATCCAAGATCAAGAACAACATTAACAGAGTTCATCAAGGAGTTAAGCTTCTTCAGCAGTGCGATTGTGAGTTGTGACCCTTCTCTCCTAGACGGAGTGGATGATGTTGGATTGGGATGAGGATTAGATCGTGAGGATGATAATAGGATTCGTTTGGTTTGGTTTGGATTGGGATGATTTCTGGGTGGAGTTGAATTATGTTTGGTTGGGTATAATTGGTTTGGTATATTAATTTTTTATTATTGTTTGTTGATGACATGGCGTGCTGAGTGGAGTAATTTAAAAGATTTTTGGATGGAGGTGGACAGATTTATTTTTTTGTTATTAGTTCAAACATATGTTACTGAAATGTACAAAATTAAAGATTTGTAACTGTTTTGTACAAAGTAAATAGTTTTGTGACCATTTATGATAATTACTCTGCATTTTAATAATACATTGTTTGGTTGTTGAGATTCTACGTTATGTATTGACTTGCATAAAGTTGCTTTATGGGAAAATGTCACATTTATCCTCAACTTTTAGTATAAGACAAAAACTAATAGAGATATAAATAGAAAGAGAAATTGGACACAAATCTAAAATCAATAATCTCAACTTTTAGTTGAGATTGTATAATGCATTATTTTTTGTGATTGTTGGTGAGACATACCTAAAACAATACATGCATTGTTTTACACTTTGACACTTCCAATTACACTTAAAATCTCCTCAATTACCATAATTCATATCGTTTGAGTTTACACTTTTGTAACTCTTGAAGTAGTATATGAATATTGAGAGGCAGGAGATGGGGTTACTCACATGTCAGTAATTAATAGGGACCGTAGATCTAGGAGGCAGACAATCGTGCGGTTGGACCGGATGCTGGGTGGGGAAGGATAATTTTGTCTGTTTATACATTAAATTCTTTATTTTATTTTATTCTGTATTTAATGGTTACATTTTCAAAGAAGGAAAAAGAAATCATCACTTTTCTTCAATTCTCATTTATCTTTCTCTCTTCCTTCTCTCTTCCTTATTCTCTCACAATCTCTTATCGAGATCCTTTCTCTTTCTCTCTTCCTTTTTCTCTCTCAATCTCCTTTCTAGATCTAAATCTACTCCCTTCTTTTGTTCCTCATTTTTTTCTCCAGGACGAATAAAAATTGCAGTCACTCTCTTTCATTGCATTTCTTCTCTTCATCACTTCGTTGACCTCAATTTCAATATTTCTCTTTTTTCGGCATTTTGGTGTTTTTGATTGCGGAAAAGGAAATGAGGGGCGATAGAAGACAGGTTTTTTTCTCTCTCTCCTTCTGTTTTTTTTTTCTCTTTTAGATAATATATATTGATATTATGACTCTATACCATATGGTATTGGGTGGTAACGAAATATATATTGATATTATCACACTATACCATATGGTAATGTATGATATTGTGCGGTAACGAAATATATATTGATATTACCACAATATACCATATGGTATTGTATGGTATTTTGTGATATTACCATATGATATTGTGTGGTAACAAAATATATATTGATATTACCACACTATACCATATGGTATTGGGTGGTAACGAAATATATATTGATGTGAAAAAAAATTTCATACCATATGGTATGGTCTTATTTAATACCAGTCAATACCATATGGTATAGACAGGTAATAACTGGCAAATTTTTTTATGTCCAAAAAATATCAAAGTGAATATAATTTTGAAGAGCACAATTAATATGATCTAATGTGCAAAAAAAAAAATCTGACTTAAAACGCGTGAAGAATCATCGTTAAAGATTAAGGGAAGGAAAATTAAAGGTTTTTCGATGAGAGAGAAGGAATCGCTGATGTGATCTGGTCAAAAGTCAGCGTTAGTAATAAATAGGGGTAAGTGCAATTTTACCTTACTGTCCTTTCGAATTTAATTTAAAAAAAAGAGAGACTAACACATAGGACAAGAAAAGATGTTACTGACCCATCAGTTAATGACTTAATCTTATCGAGGGATTAGAAAGAGTTAGGGGTGGTACTAGCAAAAAAAAAAACTGTCAAACTTGTGCAAAAATTGGGAGGGTGGTGGGATGGGGGACAGCCACATATGATTTCAGGCCGTGCAGCTGAAGACAAAGAGTAATTATTTCCTTTTCCAGGTGGTTTGGTTTACTTTTCTTGTAACTAAGGTTTTCCTCTCTTGTGAATTGTGATTATACTTTTCCTTTCTACCTCGCCCTACCCCAACAATTTCTGACACCTGTGCGTAAATAATTAGTTTGAAGCATGGTTATCACGCTGGCCGGCGTGCTATCGGTTGTACCGGGTTCAACCGGTACCGATCATAAAACCGGCGTGACACCACCGGTATGACCGGCATGATCGATATACGAATCTCTAAGTAAAATGATCTTATTTTAGAGAATTTAATTGATAAAAATTATTTAATTATTTATTTTATGAGTATAAAAGTTAAATATTGATGTTATTTGTTGGATTCAAATATAAATGTTTAGGTATTGACGTTAAATGTCATGTTTAAATATGAGTATTTATAATTTTATTTGTAATATTGACCGGCATGAACCGGCACAAACCGGTATGTGCCACCGGTTGAACCATTCCACTTGCTAAACCGACACACTGGCATAAACTGGTTTGACAACTTTGAATTTAGGTACTCTTTCTTTTCTTTTTCCTACTCAAGATTTTCCTTTGGACAAAAATCTAAGAACCCATAAATATCTCAGTTGGAGATTAAAAGGAATCTACAAATTATGGTCATATAAAGAGAGCATCACATTCATTGGTATAGAGTATAGACTATAGACTGTAGGGCAAATGTTAATAAAGAGAGCATCATGTCTATTAAATTAAAATTAAAAACAAATTAAAGGTGAGCATCACGACTAATCAAAGAAATTATGGGACAAGAAAGAATATACCTCTACAACAATTGTTACATATAGACACAAAATCATAGCCATGAAAAAAAACTTTGAAGCTAATGCAAATTAGTGGCCACAAAAGTTCCGCCCAGTGGCTGTTTATATCTTCTTAAGCTACAAAGGTTTTGCTTGTAGCTAATTGTATTGTTTTGATTCGAATGTTATCTAACATGGCAATTGGTACTATCTTTTGCCACAAACTATATGCTACGCTAGAATATTATTGCAAATTAATCTCTTTAGCTACTATAACAAACATTTGTGACAATTCTCATTCCAAAATTTTATTTGCAATCATAAAAGATATATTTGTAAACGGTCTGTG